CCCCGGGGCCGGGGGGGGCAACGCCGCGGACTCCCCCCAGCCCGGGCGGCGGGCAGAGGCTGGGAACCGGCAGGCCCCCGGCGGGGGACGTGGGGGGACGGTGCGGTGCTTCGGCCGCTGGCGTGGGGTGACGGCCCCGGCGCGAGCACGGACACGGGTTCAGAAGCCGAACCCTCGCTCCTTTATTTTGTAAACAGTGTTTTCCTGGCACGGTCCCTGCTCCGGCAGCCTTCCGGCGTGGCCAGGAGCACCGGCGTGGGACAGGGCCCCCACAGCCCCCAGGGACCCGCCAGGAGGGGAGCCTGGCACCCGCAGCCCCCTGCCAGCGAGACCCCCCCGAGCCCGGGCAAGGGCAGGGCCGTGGCTACAGCGACGCCCCTGCAGAGCACCCCGGGGACCCCCCAGCGTTAGGGGACACGGCGGGGACCGGAGCATCCCTGGGGACGCCTCTGCCAGCTTGGCCCCACCGCAGGCTGCTCTTGCAGCGGGGAGAGGGGAGACGGACAGCAGTCCCCCCGGGACGGGCAGGACGGGTCACTGGTGCTTCTTGCCCGTGTGCAGGCTGGCAGGAGTGGCGGGCAGGAAGAAGGCAGGGCAGCGCAGGCAGCGGTAGGCCAGGAGCAGGGGGCCCAGCGCGTAGAGGACGTTGGTGAGGAGGAAGCTCCACCAGACGTCTTCAGGGGTCTGGTAGGGGAAGGGCGTGCGGGCGTGCAGCGAGGAGCCCAGGTGGGAGAACTGAGCCTGGGGACACAGGGCAGGGGCTGGCAGCGGGGGGCCGGCAGCCACGGGCCGGCCCGGTGCAGCCCACCCGCCGCCAAAGGGTGTTTCGCAGGAGCACACCCAGCACGTCCTATCTATAGACCTGCGGGCTCGCTCCAGCCTATTTCTGTCAAAACTAATCCTCGGCTCCATTAAGATCCACTGAGGCCCAAGTAATTATCAGGCAGCGGCGGTGGGAACTGCTCCACATGCAGCTGCGGGTACGGATCTGTCCCCCCAGGCTCAGCCCCCGCTCCCCGCTTACTCTCTCCTGGCTGGGACCAAGACCCAGCCTGGGGGTCCCGCTGTCCCCCCCACCCCACGGCCGGGGGAAGGACGATGGGGCAGCCCTCACCTGCGCCACGGCGCCGGCGAACACCAGGCTCCAGTCGGGCAGCCAGGAGCAGCCGGGCAGCACCAGCCCGTAGATGCAGAGGCAGAAGAAGGGGAGGACGTAGAACATGTAGATCAGCATCTGGGGGGGGACACGGAGAGGGTCACCCCGTCCCTGGTGGCATGGGGGGGCTCCAGCCCTGCCTCGACCCCACTCACCTGCACTTTGGGGTAGGCGACGGGGTCGCGGAGGTACGGCTCGTGCTGGTAGATGTACTCGAAGCACGAATCGGCGGGACAGTCCAAAACCACCTGGGATGCAGGGAGCGGAGGGGAGGTGGGCATGGGGGAGATGCACCGGCCCCGGGACCCCTGCGTCCCCTCCAGGACCCATGCGGGGACCCAGCACTCACCATCCCCCTGAAGAAGGTGAACGCGGCGGTGAGGAGCAGGAGCAGGACCAGCCCCATGTCCTGGGGCCGCTGGTACAGGTGCTTGCGTTGCTCCTCTGCAACCTGGGAGAGGGAAAATGCCATATTTTCGGCTCCGCATGCTGTGGTCCAGCCCCGGGAGGGCGATAAGGCCGATGGCTCCCGTGCAGCTCCCTGCAGAGCCCTGGCTCCGGCTCCCGGCTCACCTTCTCAGGGCTGAGGCACGGCAGGGCCTTGGGCTGCTGGAAGAGCCTCACCCCAGCCCAGATGGCGATGAGGATGTAGGGCAGGTTGAGCAGGAAGGCAGGGCTGAGGTCGGAGCTGTATTTCCCTGGGGAAGGAGAGCACGTGGCAGGCACGGCGGAGCGCTCGGCGCCCCGTATCGATACCTGCCGCTTGCTCCCAGGTCAGCACCTTCCTCCTCTGCCCGCGGGGCAAGTGCTTGGGAGCAAACCCACCGGACAGACGGGGAGATGGAGGCAGCCTGGAGGGATCAGCAAGGGCTGAACGTGGAGCTGAGCCCCCCTCAGCACCCCCGTACCTATCATGTTCCCAAGCAGGAAGACGACGATGCTCATCATCAGAGAGCCCAGCCAGAAGAGACCCAGGTTCCTGTAGCTCTTTCTGCAGAGACAGCCGGGCTCAGACACCCCCGCCAGGCTCAGAGCTCCCCTCCTCACAAAATGCGGGACCCTGCCACCCCCGCGAGCCCCTCCGAGCTCGCCTCCCCGCCGCCGTCCCCGCTCACCTCTGGCCGATGGCCGCGATCATGGCAAGGTAGAGCCCGTAGTGGATGATGCCGTCCCAGTAACAGATCATAATGCCATGCGCCGTGCGCAGGTAGGGCTCGCCCTGCCCGTGCAGAAGACAGCGGATCATACGGGGTGGGGGCAGGTGCCTTCCCACACCCCCTCCCCAGGGGACCCTGCGGGAGCCGGGGCTGCTCCGTGCATGGTCCCCCTGCGGCGGGAGCAGCTTCGGGAGCGGGAGCAGCATCCGTGCCCGATGCGGGTGCACGGGGCTGCTCGTTGCACGGCCGGGGTGTGCAAGAGCCCGCGGTGGGGTGAGGCGGTACCTCTCTGACATAGACCTCCATGAAGCCCGAAATGTAGCCATCCTCCTCCAGCGAGATGACCAAGTCGACGACGGAGGTGAAGGAGAACAGCACGAACACTGCGGGAGAGCGAGCCAGCTCCGAGCAGGTCCCACGGCTCTCCCTGAATCCCAAACCTCCGCTCCCTGCCCCGGCACAGAGTCAGTCCCGCACCCCGGGGGGGACTCACCACAGAAAAGGGGGTCTTGGAAGTGGCTCCCTCCGCTTACGAAGAAGATGATGGAGATGAGGCCGGCGAGCACCAGCACCCCCGTCAGCATCAGCGGGCTGCTGCAGAACAGGGGGACGGGTTCAAGCACCACGGGCACAGCCGGGGGCTGAAGCCCCATTTCCCTCGGCCCAGGTGAAAACCCTTTGCCCCCACCGATTTGGACAGGTCTGCGCCGAAGCAGGGGGAACGGCAGGATCGGACCCCGCAGCCCCGGCACAGGTGGGGTCCCCCAGCGGCACAGGGTGCTGCCCGTCCTCTGCGGGGGGCAGACGGCTCCTCCAGGGTCTGAAATAACCCCGGGGAGGCGAAGCCCGGAGGAAGGCTGGGTCTGACACCCAGGCATGGACAGGGAAGGGGCTGCCTCGCCAAGGCTCCTGCGCCGGCGCAGGGGAGAAGCCCCAGCGTGGCCAACCCTCTCCCTCTCCAGGCTGTGGCGATGGGCCAGTGTTTTAAGAGATCGGGGAAACCGGTTATAAAGCAAATTGGTAACAAGGAGACAGATACTGAAAACGCGTCCTAAGAGAGTGACAAAGTTGCAGGGAAATCTATCCCGAGCTTGCTGCGTCCCCCCGAAGCAGCTCTTGCAGCAGCTGGGGTAGCTACAGCTCTAGTCTAGCCAAGACTTCGGCTAGCAAACACGGAAAACCTGACGGTGGTTTTCACTCAGGCCTTTAACCCTGTTACCAAAGAAGAAGAAAAGGTAAAGTCGTGGCTGACTGCACGGAGAGCGGTGTAAATAGCTTATCCTGCAGAAACACCCAAGTACCAGCCCGAGGGCTCCTCGCTGCGGCACGGCGGACGTGCGGAGTGGGACGAGAGGCCAGCCGTCCCCCTGCCCCAGCGTCACCCGGCTGAGAACAGCTCAGGTCTCATTTAGAGGAGGCTGCGACAGCACCCAGCTGGTGTTTGCCTTGTGCAGGCGGAATAATTGCTCTTCCAGGGATGGGGATGGGGATGGGGACGGGGACGGGGACGGGGGGCGCAGGACCCCGCGCCCAGGGACAAGATGGGCATCGCAGCAGCACTGAGCGAGGCTGAGTTTGTCCTCACCGCGTGCTTTAAGCATCCAAACCCAACACACATACTCTTAAAAAAACCCTCAAAACAATCAAATAATTGAAGTGCCACCGCCTAAATGCATTATTACTAGTGTATAATTAATTACTACACAACTAATTACTCCCACAGAATGATTAATTCAAAATTAAAATACGGATGCTGCGGTGGAGTAGCACAACGCCGGGCTCCTCCTGTCACCGTAAGACGGGACCGTGTGTGCGATGGGCACACCAAGGCGTGCCGGCACCGGGGCCACCCCCCACACGTACCAGCACCGCGGGGGGCCGCGCTCAGGGCACCCAGCTCGCCCTGCCAGGCTGAGGGGCTCCCAGGGCACTGTCGCTCATCTAATTAAGAAATTAGGGGACTAATTAAGAAACGGGGGGAGGTACCCCCTCCAGCTCCCCCTGCAACACCTGGGCAGGAGAACAGCGTCATGGGGGGCGGGCTGGGGGGTCAGCGCTCCCCACAGCTGCGGATGCGGAAGGGCTGCGGATTTCGTAGTGATGGATCCTGGAGATCCGGGCTGCAACAGTGCGGGGCCGGGCGGTGGGAGGGA